CACTAGTGTCCTCATACATCTTTATATTGTAAATCGTGGTGTCTGCCCAAGCGCTCGTCTGTCTCCTGTTTATGGCGGCCATTTCCCGCACTGCATTTGAAAAGCTCCACACAACATTCACTCTTGAAATGACAGAAGAACAGGCATGAATAATGTTGATGCCAAACTTTATTTCACAAGTAGGATATTGTACACTAAATTGTTAGGAATTAATCACACTATCATTCACATTTAAAAATGTGACGTAACTTATAGAATAAAAATGTAGATTTACTATATGTTATTGTTGAGCGGCTCTTAGCACGACTGAAATGTTCAACAATTACTTTTCATGGTGGGTGGTATAAGTAGCTCAGAACTTTTGCTCTGAATGAAACCAAGAGTGCACAACAATTAACTGTTTTAAGGTCCATGAAATAATTTAAATTGACAGATTAACTTAAACTTTTCCTATCACTGGGGATGGGTACTTTTGCTTGTATAAGTATATATATAAACAAAAATCCTTTCTTTCCCCTAAACTGTTCTTCACTGAACCAGATTCATAGCATCACAGGCTACTCTTGAGTATAAATGTTTGTCCTGGATAACCTGTCAAAAGAATTTACTTCAGGTATATTTGATATCTCGTATACCCTTTAAAACGTCGTCATTCCTCAAGGATTGAATTTTGAAAACACTGTCGTATTTATGGTAGATTGTATTTCAGACAAGATTTCAAGGACATATTAAAACATACTTTAGGTTTAGAGCACATGGTGTGCTGCAGTACAATCAAACACACATCTATATAAATCTGGATCACCAACCATAGTTCTGTGCAGGAAGATATTGTAACCCCATATTGTTCAGTTAGGGATATTTATATAAACGTACTTGTGTTCTGATGAGATACACACACACACACACACACCATTATATACGACAAATTAAACTCCACCAAAGCCTGATTAAGAAAGAAGGTGGGATGCCACCAGGGTTTACAACCCAGGCATAAAAGCCTTGCAAAACGAATATGAAGAACAACAACATATGCCATAGTTGGAGGAAAGCATCACATGTGGAGAACCGTAACCCCTGTTAAAAGGAAAAAAACCAATAAAGAAATATGAAAAATTGTTTTGTTTGTTTGTTTTTGAATTTCACGCAAAGCTACACGAAGGCTATCTGTGCTAGCCATCCCTAATTTAGCAGTGTAAGACAAGAGGGAAGGCAGCTAGTCATCACCACCCATCGCCAACTCTTGGGCTACTCTTTTACCAACAAATAGTGGGATTGACCGCCACATTATGATGCCCCCACTGCTGAAAGGGCAAGCATGTTTTGTGGGACAGGGATTCGAACCCGCAACTCGCAGATTGCGAGTCGAGCACCCTAGCCACCTGGCCATGACAGGCCATGAAATATTAACTCCTGAAACAAATATTATGACTTTTCTTGAAATTAGCAGTACCTAAGATTCCTTTTCTCTGTAAGTACTTCTGGCAATAACTATACAGCTACTATATGACTGGTGTCTCTCTCAAGTCTAAGTATATTGATAATTTTTTTTTTTTTCATCCCTTCTCTTTTGCAGTAACATGCAATGGTTGATGATGAAGATATTTCTTGAGGTTTCTTTAGATATAATAGCTTGTTTTTAAAGTAAGACCACAAATAAATACTGTAGAGAAGTTAGGGTAAACGAAACCATCCTAACTTGTAAAACTAGACAATCTTGCAGTAAGAATTTAAAAAAAAATAATGTTCTTTAGTCTACGGGCCAACAGTAAACGACTTTGTTTTGTTCTTTTACTTGTTAAATTTTACAGTTTTGTATTATAATTTCCAATAACACTGTTAATCTAAATACTTTTAGGCCATTTTAAGTATCACATTTTGTTATCATTATGGACTGGCAAACAATTGCATTTGAAATGAACAGCGATTTTTCTAAGCTTTCAAAGACTGTAATGTTTACTGGTAAAGAGAAATTGTTTTTAAATAAAGTAATATATACAAATAATTAAGTTTTTCTGTGGTAGTTTCAATGCTCTAATACAAAATCCTTATAAGAATAAAATAAAATCTATTTTCTTATAAAATCATAATTTATTTCTGTTTTCGAGGCAATCATTTTCGACCGAATGAGAAAGACTCTGTTGTCACTTACCCAGGTTTCTGGACAGCTTCTCGGAGAACCCTCACTGCAGCTTCGTTTCCCATGTTTTCAAAATTAATATCATTAACTTGGAGAATCATGTCTCCAGGCTCAATTCTTCCATCTAAAGCAACCGCACCCCTGTATACGAAGGAATGATTAAAAACTAAAGTTATAAACTGTAATAAAAGTAGACTTGTACCGTGTATAATGTTTGTTGTTCATCACCCACGAAAGTCTTCAAAGTAAACAACACACGCAAAAGCTCAGTACCTTATGTTTCCGTTATTCACGTAAAAATAATTTACGATGAATTTAAGATAATAAAGACAAATATGTATATATATACGCACACACATCGATGAAGAATTAAAAGTTTTGCGAAGGAATTAGGATTCAACTTTCACATGACTGATAGTTTTCAGAATATCACTGTTAATTTAATTTTCCATACACTTGCTTTAAATCTTAAAACAACATCTGAACCACTGAGGGTTTCTCTGTTGTTAAGCACAAAGCTACACAATGGGGTGTTCTCCCACCTCAGGTATTGAACTGTTGACTTATCTTTATACTATTTACTAGTTAATGGGGCCACAGAAAACATTATATTGATTAATGTTGTTTTGTCAGTTAGAATACTTAGTGTTAAGAACCAGCCGACTAACTGAGAGAAATAATAATGGTTGGAGACGGCTTGAATGGGTAATGAATGACAAAATGAACCTGATGATGACAAAACCTTGTCGAAACGTTGTACATTTGCTGTTATGTTAAACTTATATTAAAGTTTTTCTTCATTACCCATTCAAGCCGTCTCCAATCATTATTAGTCTCAAAGTGGGTTCCTCGGCATCAAATTTAACCGAGAGAAACTTCTTCCTTGTCGCGTAAAATACAGTAATTAGCAGGGTCTTAGTCGAGACCTCAATGTCCAAAACTGAGACCTGAGGGGTCGAGACCAAGACTGAGACCTTGTAATAAGTTATACAATGAAAAATAAAGCAAGAAGAAAAAAAATCACATGCATCAAACACACTTTAGTAACATCTTAACCACAAACCTTTTACACAATTTTAATGTCTCCTCCTATGATAAAACACAAAAATAATGAATGAATAAATAAAATCAAAAAGGATCAGCAAATAAACCTTAAACCAGTTTTGGTGTCTGTCAGTAAATTCTTTATGATCTTTGAAGTCAAACAGGATCACAGCAGATCTACTAGACATGTTGAATCGCAAACAATTGATGTAAATATGTGCACCAGATGAAGTTCATACAAACTTATTGTAAGCCTAGGTGTAAAAAAATGTATATTAGCAGTTAGTTTTGAACAGTGCATGTTATAATGGGGGATTGGCGTACAGGCAATATGGTGGTCAGTGATGTAAATAAAAATAAGGAAGGCAATATAAATATCACTGCAAAGGTGTAGTACCAACTGCCAAGGGAGTTTTATTACTAGTAAAACATCTCTGATGCTACACTGCACCTTGTATGAACTGCTGTGTAATCGATACTTAGCACTTAATAATCCTGTGTAGGTGAGTGATCTGATACTGTTAAAACATTTAATTTTAACTGGTCTTGTTTTCTAAACCTGTAAAACAATCAGGAGCAAGATTTTCCAATGGGTGATCCTGAGACCGAAACCTACAACACTGATAATTAGTGAGATTAGTTGCAGCATTGATGGTACTTATGTAGAAAGTCATATGTTATTAGGAATCCTGTTATGATATTAATAAATAGCAATAATAAAGAAGAATCAGTGACCTTTGTTACATCATTAGTAGGAGAACCAGTGACCTTTGTTACATCATTAGTAGAAGAATCAGTGACCTTTGTTACATCATTAGTAGGAGAAGAATCAGTGACAGTTGTTACATCATTAGTGGGAGAAGAATCAGTGACATTTGTTACATCATTAGTAGGAGAAGAATCAGTGGCATTTGTTACATCATTAGTAGGAGAAGAATCAGTGGCATTTGTTACATCATTAGTAGGAGAAGAATCAGTCACCTTTGTTACATCATTAGTAGGAGAAGAATCAGTCACCTTGTTACATCATTAGTAGGAGAAGAATCAGTCACCTTTGTTACATCATTAGTAGGAGAAGAATCAGTCACCTTTGTTACATCATTAGTAGGAGAATAATCAGTGACCTTTGTTACATCATTAGTAGGAGAAGAATCAGTGACCTTTGTTACATCATTAGTAGAAGAATAAGTGGCATTTGTTACATCATTAGTAGGAGAAGAATCAGTGACCTTTGTTCTAATTTGCTGCAGTGATGAGAATTTTTCGGGCATCCACAAATAATAAAACTTCCCTCAGCTTTGTTGGTTTAATGTGTTACACTGTCATTTTTGTTCCAGATAGGTACAAATAAATGTAAATATTGAATACGTGCACAGAAATATTTCTTCCTACTTATTTCCTTTTAAAACCTCGATGTGTCTTACGGTCCAAATACGGTACTTACAAAAACGTACGTTGTAATCATAAAATCAACTGTGACAAACACTTTGAACTATAAAACTAAACTTAAGTATTAATACATCTCTTATTACAATAATCACAATTAAGTCCAATACATTTTTTTTATACAAGAGAAGCACAATTTTGAATGTCGGTCAACAAACTTCAACACAATCTAACTCACCCCTTCATTATCGAACCTACGTATATTCCACCATCGCTTCCTTTATAGGAATTCCCCACAATACTGATACCTAGAAAATTGACACTGTCTGGAAAGAAAAAAATCTGGATGAGTAATCACTCTTAGAAGTTTTTAACTAAAACATAACTTGTAAAAAAAATCTCCCTTTATAACTGATAACTACAACTATGATATCAGAATTCAGCAGTATACAGTTTTGTTTTTATTTTTTATATGGCTAGAAATTATATTATCGCCTCAAGCACGGTGTTCCTTTCTATCTTGCTTAATATTGTACTATCTGTAAGTTTGACAAAATAGTTTCAACAAAGAAATAAATTTTAACTATTACTTTCATTTTAGGTAGCACAAACAAATCCTCAACGTATAATGCCAATCAGTCTTCCAAACATAATAAACTCAACTTACTTCTAAAGCAGTCACAGTCTACAAGTCAGCCCTTGTTAACTACCCTCATATTCATAAGTATAGAAAAATCTTAGGGAGCATGCGTTATGTGGTCAGAACGTCTTTATTCGCTGACTGAGAATGGACAGAATTTGAACGTGTCACTCTGCTTACGAAGATACTGATCAATGATTCCACACAGAACATTCAAGGCATAGTCACTTAGTGGCATAACTGCCTAAAGCATCTGTCAAATATGTTTAAACCCTACCTGCCCAGTCTCAGTTTTAACTCCAAAAGCAACAAAACTTTTAAATTCGTATGCGTACAAAATCTGAAGGTTACTAAAATAAATTTTTTTAATCGCAATGAATGATGAAATAAAAAACACCATTTGGAAATATCACCACAGAAGGTGAAAACGTCGATATTATGCTTGAAAACTTTATTACTGAAATAAAAGATTTAAATATCACACTTACTCATGATTAACAGATATTACTCCAAGTTTGGTGGAAATGATAGGACCTACCTAAATATAATGTGACTGTAATGATGTTAAGAGACATGGTTGATTCTGTGATACTGCTAATGGATGAGGTCTGTAACAAATAATCGAGAACAACGTTTTCATTAAAATAAAATATCCTATTAAAGTAATTCTAGCAATTACGAACTTCTTAAACTAGCAATACCCCTTCTTTTATCGTAAGGCAATCAAAACTTTACACTTAACTCCAAAACTTTTTCTTTCTTTTTGTTAAGCAAATATTTTTTTCTAGCTGTAGCCAAAAAAAAAAATCTTAAAAAGTTAATTTACAGAATAGTTATGTTCTTTTACAATCTAAAACATTTCAACATATATAATAACAAAAACAAAGTCAATGCAAATTGATCTTTTCCTCACACACATATAAACTTTTTTTTAATTATGCATTGTTAAGTATTTCACTACTGCACTATTAATCCAGACCTTAAATAAAACCCTTAATTAACACACATAGCTCTCAACTGTTTTCATTCACGTGCTATCTTACCCTACTCATTGGTGTTATGCATTGTTAAGTATTTCACTACTGCACTATTAATCCAGACCTTAAATAAAACCCTCAATTAACACACATATCACTCGACTGCTTTCGTTCACGTGCTATCTTACCCTACTCATTGGTGTTATGCATTGTTAAGTATTTCACTACTGCACTATTAATCCAGACCTTAAATAAAACCCTCAATTAACACACATATCACTCGACTGCTTTAGTTCACGTGCTATCTTACCCTACTCATTGGTGTTATGCATTGTTAAGTATTTCACTACTGCACTATTAATCCAGACCTTAAATAAAACCCTTTATTAACACACATAGCACTCGACTGTTTTCGTTCACGTGCTATCTTACCCTACTCATTGGTGGCATTCTATGCTTTTTCCTTCGTCGCCGGTAGCGGGCGTGAATCTTTGATACACTACTCTCTCCTGTTGTGGTTGATATTCTAAATAGAAAAAGGCTTAAAATACTGAATCCTGCACACAAAGGTAAGTATATGCTTAACAAAACTAATTCAGTTTAAGTCTTGTCACTAGTCTTGTCACTCAATGTTTTGAGTCAAAATGATCTAGACTCATCTGAACTTTCTTAGTAGTGTCTTAATCTTGCATGTTCAATAATTTCACATTAGTTAACATTTTAGTTTCATTGTGTAACAAACAGTCACAAGTTTTCAATAACTTCAATTGATAATTAGTTTATGAACATTTTATGTAACTGTGTATCAAATAGTCACAAGTTTCAATAACTTCAGTTGATAATTAGTTTATGATCATTTTATGTAACTGTGTATCAAATAGTCACAAGTTATAAATAACTTCAGTTGATAATTAGTTTATGAACATTTTATGTAACTGTGTATCAAATAGTCACAAGTTTTCAATAACTTCAGTTGATAATTAGTCTATGAACATTTTATGTAACTGTGTACCAAATAGTCACAAGTCTATAATCATTTTAGTTGATAATTAGTCTATGAACATTTTATGTAACTGTGTACCAAATAGTCACAAGTCTATAATCATTTTAGTTGATAATTAGTTTATGAACATTTTATGTAACTGTGTACCAAATAGTCACAAGTTTTCAATAACTTCAGTTGATAATTAGTTTATGAACATTTTATGTAACTGTGTACCAAACAGTCACAAGTTTATAATAACTTCAGTTGATAATTAGTCTATGAACATTTTATGTAACTGTGTACCAAATAGTCACAAGTCTATAATCATTTTAGTTGATACGTACAATACGTCCATTGTGTACCAGATAATTATATGTTGGAGAAAGTTTCATTTAAAATAAAAAAAACATCAACTACTTCATAGATTAGCTGTTGATTGAGAAGATTCTGTTCAAAAAATATAATCTGATAAAAAACAATCACTCAATGAATCAGTTTGTCTTGGATATAAAGGATTTTGCTGTCTACAAAAACAACTTGAAGCTCCAAGTAGATTTTAACTATGAAATAAAACTTATATATATCCAAAAGGAACAAATCACAAAGCAGCAATAAAATTCTAAATAACCATAGAACAAAGTTTTAAGGCTTTACAAGGTACCATCTTTCCAGCACCAATAGAGATACATGACACACAATTTAAAAACAAAGTGGAAAATTTAACGATGAATTTTTTTAATTATCGGTTTACAAACAATAAATCGTGAATACATTTTCTACGAAAGAGGTTCTCACTCAAAAAAAAAGGAGGGGGGAGTAATTTTTTTCCAGACTAAATGAAATCATGACAAAAGCATTTACAAAATGCATGCAGCTTAATATAAACATGAAAAACTAATCTGATTATTTAAGCTACATACCTAATATAATTTTACAGGAAATATCAACAGATAAAACAAATACCTGCTTCTAGATTCTTCTTCAGAGTCTAAAAAACTTGTAGTTTCAATGTCACTTGTCACCATAGAAGACGATTCATAACACTGGTGTCCACCTCTATGTCGATCTACTCGGCCATGTCCATATTTACTCTGACCATTGATACGGGCTACAAAGAGAACACGTTACAGAGTAATTGCAACACAGAAACAAGAACGAAGTATAGCGAGATAAAACCACCAAAGAGACTGTATTTACGATCCAATTCTAATGTATTTACAATTATTAAAATTCCACCCGACAAATTTATTTGCATAAAACAAAGTGTCAGTTATTTATCAAACGCTGCTCTAAATATTTAACTTACTTACTTCACCAGGTGAAGAAGTTTGCAACATCATGAATAAAAGTAAAACAAATTGTATTACGCATCACATAAGACAATACTTAAATTCTACTTACTATGTTCGTCGTGAAAATGCTTGTCTCGATGCTTAGAAGATCTATGACCATGACGATCTGCAAAGATGAGACAAGATAACGTAAAAGTGTGAGAACAGATTTTAGAAGTCATTGTCGTGGTGTGGTTACTAGCTTATACTATGATCTTTGTTTCTTAATTATTATAATTATATGTAACACACAACTAATTAACTAATAATTTTCTAACATCTTACGTTTTGTTTACAAATCTCCTGCTTTCTTTGGAAGGACTGTTTCTGACATTGTGAAGTCAGGTCTTGTTGTAAAGTGAAGGTGCTGTCTATTGGTCTGGGTAATGCCCAGATGATGATATAAATGGATTTTCATCAGAAAAGCATCACTGTAAGACACTAGCAGTGTTCACTGTATTCTCTAATTATTAAGTTAGATTTGTTCTACTCCTTGTAAGACACTAGCCGTGTTCACAGTATTCTCTAATTATTAAGTTAGATGTGTTCTACTCCTTGTAAGACACTAGCCGTGTTCACTGTATTCTCTAATTATTAAGTTAGATTTGTTCTACTCCATGTAAGACACTAGCCGTGTTCACTGTATTCTCTAATTATTAAGTTAGATTTGTTCTACTCCTTGTAATACACTAGCCGTGTTCACAGTATTCTCTAATTATTAAGTTAGATGTGTTCTACTCTTTGTAAGACACTAGCCATGTTCACTGTATTCTCTAATTATTAAGTTACATTTGTTCTACTCCATGTAAGACACTAGCCGTGTTCACTGTATTCTCTAATTATTAAGTTACATTTGTTCTACTCCTGCTCAGTACTAGCATAAAAGAACTCAAGTCAACTGATACAACATTTGAAGTTTGTAGGAAACAAGATTTTATAAATTGTAATCAGATGAAATTATAATTAGCCAGCTTTCCGAGACAATACTTACCTTTTCGAGAACTAACAACAGACTCTGTTTCTGTGCATGTGGTGTCACCTATGGTTTCTCTGAGGTCCAGTGCAGCTGCACTAAAATTGGTAAAAATTTGATTCTTATTAAATATATATTTAACCATGGAGTTAAAGATTACTAATTTATAAAATTTAATTTAATATGACACTAAAAATGAAGGAATATGTCCCATTTGACTGAATGAACTGCAACATCATATGGTATTTCTAGTACACGAGTGTCACTTGCGTCAAAAAATATTTAATCAATAGCAACAAAATCCTGTTTCACACTTCGACATTTATATGCCATTAGTCCAGCAGTGAAATGCTTTGTATAAAAATAAAAGACAAATCGGCTCTTCAAACCTACATATATAAAGTTTTGATTGGTCAAATTAAAGTATAACCAGGCACATGAAAAAATGCTTAGCCTTAACTTGGTACTCATAAGGCCTAACTTCACACTTCCCAATATTTCTGTAGGCTAATTTATTAAACATAGGTCAAATTAAAGTATAACTAGTCACATGAAAAATATTTAGTCTTAACTTGGTACTCATAAGGCCTAACTTCACACTTCCCAATATTTCTGTAGGCTAATTTATTAAACAAAGGTCAAATTAAAGTATAACCAGTCACATGGAAAAATGTTTAGTCTTAACTTGGTACTCATAAGGCCTAACTTCACACTTCCCAATATTTCTGTAGGCTAATTTATTAAACATATTGTTCACACAAACATGAAACAAACAGTTACATTTTCCATGATTTATAGGTTCTCAAATAAATTACTTTGTCACTTTCTTAACAATTACTATTTATTAAATCAAGAAACTTCCCACACAGCTAATATTGATTGAATGTTTTCATTTAGTATTTCACTTCCCTGAAACATAATGACTGAAACTGGCATTGAGTTTTTCTGCTCCCATGCAAATGTTTTTATGTTGAATGTGCAGAAAGAAGATAGTGTCTCGAATTAGCCTGGTTTGTAATAATCTTTTTATCCCACAGCTTTAGTAACAATGATGGGTTAAAACTTTTGTATTTAATTCTTCTTGTTATCTTTCAAGATGAAGGGATAGGCATGATTAAAAAATTGAACTAGTTCTTTTATTAGACTTGAAATTACCATCTGAAGAATCGCTTTTTTAAAGTAAACGTAAACAGTGAACAACACTTTAGTCTACACAACTTACCGGAAGGGAAAGGGTCTACTTTCACCAGGAATATGTGACACCGAGTCCGTACCATCCGAAACATTGCTCCCTTCAGCTGAAACTAGCTAAACGATAAATAAGGGGTTCTTATAGACTCTTAATTAAAGGAAATACAATCAGTACTCGTGTAGTTGATCCACAGTTATAAGATTCCTTTTTTTTAAGTGTCAAATGTTTTATTGCAGAAGTCATTAAATTAAACAGCTTACAACAAAATCAGCATTTAGTGTAGTAAGTATAAAACACATTTAACCTACTTGGTACATAACCAGAACTAAGACAAACTAATCACTTTGAAGTTGCTATTCTGTTACTCCTTTTAATTCACCTAATCAGTCATGGACAATGAAATTTAAGAAATTTGAAGTTTGTCTACTTTCGACCTCTCAAGCGCTTTCAAAAGTTTAAACGGAAGAGAGAAACTACGTTATAGTTAGTAACTGACTTCTTAACTTCCTTACATAACATGACTGACACAATAAAAACATTCTGCAGTACATTTTGGAAAGTGTAAATGTTAACATTATACCAGTTGTATGATCTAAATTTTAACTGAAAGATCTAATATTATTAATAAAGAACCAAATGATAGTGATACGGACATAAATCCAAAAAGTGTATAGATCTATAGGTGTGGTGAAAGAGATCAAGATGAGTTGGGATCAACTTAATTTTAAATATTATAAGTATGTGGTGCAGATATTTTTATAAAGGTCTCATCATATCAAGAGCTCTGTGTTTGGTAATAGTTTCTTTCTTCCAAAGATGCTGACATGCTGAGAAAAAAATGTTATTTTAAAAAACTATGAAGACAGTTTAAAAAGTTAGGGATGACATATTTCAGATTGTTAAGATTGTAAAGGATATGAATAATTAAGTTGTGATATAGATTGTTAACTCAGGAAAAAAAAAACTTTCAGAATCCTAAGAGTACGATGATCTTTGGTCATACATTCTACATTACTTGTAAGACACACAACTGGAATCTTTACGCAATTATATTCTTGTAATTAAAAAAATCTACTTAAATAGATGGAACTCAGTAATTAATGAACCAAGTTAATAAATACTCCAACTAACAGTAAGAAATTTCATAAAATAAAACTTACAACAATTAAAATGCACGGATTCGTTAGTTGGGTAACGCACCGATTCGTTAGTTGGGTAACGCACCGATTCGTTAGTCGGGTAACGCACCGATTCGTTAGTCGGGTAACGCACCGATTCGTTAGTCGGGTAACGCACCGATTCGTTAGTCGGGTAACGCACCGATTCGTTAGTCGGGTAACGCAACGATTCGTTAGTTGGGTAACGCACCGATTCGTTAGTTGGGTAACACAACGATTCGTTAGTTGGGTAACGCACCGATTCGTTAGTTGGGTAACGCACCGATTCGTTAGTTGGGTAACGCACGGATTCATTAGTTGGGTAATGCACTGATTCATGTTCACAAAAACAAAAAGGAAGTAAGAAATAAGGTGGAGAATTTAACAGGACTTTTTAAATTCAAAAATATTAAAAATGTAATTCTTACACTTGAACATAAAAATATCATACCTTCAAATTTGTAACTAACAAACAACATACCCCAAAAAAAAGGTCACATTATTTACTGTAAGTATGCTAGATGTACAAAATCTGTTCCTTCTGTTTATTATACCCACTGTTTCTTAAATCCAGCGTCATGTGATAATCAGTAGATAACTGCTATTGACTCTCACAAGATGGTGCTTTATTTTATTAACCCTTTCACTGTGGGTTCGTATTTACACGATCTTGTTTATATGTATCAACTACATGCATGTTATAAAGCTGAAGCAAAAGTATAGAAAATTGGTTGACAAATTTATTACTTGCTAATACTGCATTCAGCCAGAGAACTTTGAAACTTACATGCCAATAGGGCAAGTAAATGTACTTATTGTCTAGACTTACTTCTATAGGATTGGAATTATCTGCTTCAAGAGTGAGTAAAAATTGAGATTTTTAATAGCTGATTCATCATGTCTTAACGAAAGTTTCCTTTTAAATAAAGTAATAGTGAAGTTCTTTAATTAACTTTGATGTAACTCAGTGACTTGCACACAAAATGTATTAAATCTTGAATGTAACTCTGACTTGCACACAAAAATGTATTAAATTTGAATCTAACTCAATGACTTGCATACAAAAATGTATTAAACTTGATGTAACTCAGTGACTTGCACACAAAATGTATTAAATTTGATGTAACTCAGTAACTTGCACACACAATGTATTAAGTTTGATGTAACTAGGTGACTTACATACAAAAATGTTTAAAGGGTTAAGTGGGAACAAGCTTTTTTTTATTTGATGTAATGAAAATTAACAATATTGGTTTGTATTACAAATACTCTAAAATAACTGCTAACAAACCAGTTCTATAGATGCTGCAGTAATGCATGATCTGAAGAAGTATTCTGTCATAGATGC